GCTCTTACGTGAAATATTGGCCGTCGAACAGGATGTAATCAATTTCAATGTTCTCTTGATGTTTTTAATTGATTTATTTCACGAGTCACGTGACCAGCGGTAACCAGGGTTTTTCCTCGCCTGGCTTGCGAGGTTGCGAGTAACATAGAAATATTTATTTTGAATTTTTCAAAATATCGGGCTTTACTTGCACGCGTGTGCCACACGCTATACTTGGCTAATAAGAAGCACCCGTAATCGGACAGACATCAAATCACGCATGTAGCAATTAGAATCGATTCATGGAATTGTAAATCTCATAGGATGGAAACGTCGCATTGCTTTGATGTTCTAAAATTGTATTTCCGGTTGGGATTAGCTGACTATCACAGCAGGATTGGAAATACTGTAATAAATTTTTAAAGGTGCAAGTTTGAAGATACAAGCTTCAAAATAATACTGTAAATAGTCATGGTTGCTGTGAACGAACAAAGTTTAAAACTGTAAATAGTGTTTTGCACATTGATTCGAACAAGACTATTTAATTCGACGAAAGTTTTGGCTAGTTTATATTTTTGTTCAGACGATTGAGTAATTTGATAATTGATACGTTCTCGCTTGAGTTTCAAAGGCCATAAATCGCTACAATGTTGATAATAGTGACTAAAACTATCGTTAGGAATTAGTTGATTTTTTTTACTGAAGCGGATGGCGGTATGCTTGTCTTCATCATATGCACCTAACCGACGATACGAACATTCATGCAGAGTCGTCAGCCTCGTTTTATCGAGAACGAGTCTGGATTAAACACTCAATCTACTTTGACTACTCGAGCTTGGTACTCGCTAATCGGCTGACGTCATATTCCCCCCTGCTCTCATGCTGATATTTGATAGATACTTGCAAACGCGTTGATGAATGGAAGATTTAATTTGTGTTTTCGAAGTGGGAAATCCCACCAAAATTACTGTAGAACAAAATTAAATAATTAAATGAGATCTTCAAGGCATAAGAAATTAGTTGCCTCTCAAGTTTTTTTTTCAGTTGTCAATTCATGCCATACATATTTGAAAAACATGTCTATCATGAAATTGTCGAGAAAAGATGTGCATTATCAACAAGGTAGGCTACATATTAAAACTTCACCACAAATACATAATGCAGGAACCCCTCGCCTATATATTTTCCAAACATTGATCTTGATTTAACGGTCATAAAGTCAGGGACGTGCTGGGATCTTTTAAAGAACGACGAATGAGCAACGTCTGATGGTGCCCGGGCCAAATGACTGCTGGATCAAGATTGGCGTGGGGTGTAATACTGATCAAACATGAAACATTTCAGTCGCTAATTAATCTATTTCCTCCAAAATTGTTGGCGGTGGGAGGGAATTCCGGACATAGCACTTTTCAGTAACTTTCGAATTACTGTACCGTAATTTGTTAATTTTTCGGTTATTATTTCGTAAATTTAGATTTTCAATATATAAATTGTAACATCTTAATATCGATTTTCAAAATTAAAATCTATATATATTTATCTTTTCAATGTTTTAATTTTAGCAGCCCATGATGGCAGGGGCAAGTTCTCGTCGGCTGGTCCCTAGTCAGCATGTTCCTGCATAAAGTATTAGTAATCGTCAAAACTGCTGCCATGGTAATACGCTCATTTTAATTTCTTAGCAGAACACCATATTATCTTTTTTGTACAAAAGCCAAGAATAGTTGAACGGATTAGTACCTTTAATTTAATTTAAGTATACAACAGTGAATTTCCGAAATACGTACTGAAGGTATAGTATGTTATTTTGCATTTTGTGAGCTTTGATTTAACCCCAATCGCTTCGTAAAATGATTCGAAATGTTCATTCAACTAAACTGTACATGTTTTGCCGATAAACCATTTTTACTCAAATTAATACAACAAAATAAGTTGCTCTCATGCGGATATTTAGTGACCTGTATATGCTCCGGTGTCATCCAAGGGTGTGGATGAGAAAGGAGTTAATTAAAAATCATAGTCGCGAGTGTGAGGAAGAGCGAGGGTGTTGAGCATTATGTAATCTTCATGTCATATATCAACACTGGGCACGTTTTGGCAATTTGATGGTGCTTAAAATTTTAATTTATTCGTTATAAATTGCCAAGTGAAATTAAAAACCCTGGTGACCGAATAAGAATGACGTACTGTAGCTTGGGCTGTAAGAGTCCAGCCTCGTTCCCAGGCTCTTCCCTCTTGTGGAGAAAAGACTGCTGGTGGACGCTGGTCACTTGTCTGCTTAAAATCTAGCAAATGTTTAATTAGCGTTGATGTGTCAATCTGGGAGGGGTGGGAATGTAGTAGTTGACATCCGCCAGGTGCATCGGTGTTGTTTACTTCACTTTACATGTATTAATAAACATGATTTATATACTGTTCTAAATTCATACTCATTATGACAAGACTTCGTGCTATACTGAATGTCATCAATATAATAACTGTTGCGGTACATTTCAAGCGAGAAGCTGGATCATATTTCACTTGCAAGGAAAACACTCCACACGCGCCTGGCTTGCGAAGTTGAACATGCATCGCTGCCGGAAACACTGACTGACGATCAACCGGTATTAAACGAACGATATGTTGTTTATAGTTGAAGTGTATCCTGTCCGATATTCAAACAAAGGATTTATTTTATAACGGGATCCTTTGATTTCCCAAACATCGCCTACTGTGTGTAAACAATAGTGCTATTTTGACTGTGAAAGCACAGGATTAAAACTCGTTATGGACTGTAAAATTCCTTTCATTTACATTGCTGAAACTCAACGATCAAGAAAGATTATGTCGAAGTATAGCTATCTGTTATCACACGAACACCAAGACTCTTCCGTACAACTTGAAATCTTGAATATCTAGGACGATATATGCACTAGATACTGGTATTGTGCTTTATAGTAAATTATTTCATATTTCATGTATTACTATACAATTACTTTATGGTTTCCGTGTTTGGATGGCCTGATCCAAACACGCGGGAATGTTGCGAGAGTTAAGAAAAGCGCGCGAAAGCACGAGCCGAAGGCGAGTGATTTTGCGCGCTTTTCTTAACTCGAGCAACATTCCCAAGTGTTTGGATCAGGCCATCCTAACAGGGAAACCATAAAGTAATTGTTTTATAAAATAACAACAACACGATAGTCTTCCGTGTTTGGATGGCCTGATCCAAACACGGGTTTCGACCAATCAGAGCACGCATTATATACATGTTATTTTATAAAGTAATTTACAGCAGGTACATTATAAATCTTATAAAGACTTTGCATTGGGATTGACAATGCCCATTATTTGAAGAATAATCCAGCTT